GAAAGGGGGACACGTAACTCGCATGCGAGTGTCCTTATTTGTATTTCTTGACAAGTACGCTGACAGCCCCGCTATTAAGGCGACATACTGTTAGTTAACCTGGTGCAAATTTTGCCCACCTATCAACATATTTGGTGTATCAGTTGCGGTGCCTCACACTTTCCCATCCCACCCCCACCGCCTCGCCCCTTTTGCCACCCTGGTCTTCTTCAGCCATGCCATTGGCCAAGCTGCACAAGACCCTGCAGACGGTGATGGGCTGGGAGGACACCCAGAAGTACACGGTACGCAAGCATTCCCGCTTTGATCGTTTCTTCTCTTCTCATTGGGCCACCATCCCGCGCTTACCACGACTTCGTGCGTGTGCGGTTGTGTGCGTTCCGTGCGGTTGTGTGCGTTGTTGTTATCGCACATCCAGTTTCTTACTGGCGACGGCGTGCCGATCGCCAAGTACAACAAGGACGACATTCCCTGCCTCTCGGACAGCAAGATTCGGCTGGCCTACATCGTCAAGGACCCCGGCGATGAGGTGTGTTTACCCCCCCCCCCCAAATTCCTTTCCTCTTTCCTCTTTCCGTTTCCTGCGAGTGCGCGTGCAACTCTCTCGTTCTTTTAATAATGAAAGCGTTGCTTCTCGCCCACCCACAGCTCTACTACCAGTACGGCGAGTGGATACACCGACTTCTCGTGGAGACGATCGGCGCCCCGCGACGGAACATCCCCTCCACCCGCGGTACGGCGCAACACACTTCTGCTGTGATGACGTGCAACTATGATCGTTTCGTGTGGTGCTCGATTCACACCAAGTGCTTACCGCCTCTCATCGTGTTCTCTCTCTCTCTCTCTGTGTGTGTGTGCATGTGTGTGTGTGTGTGTGCATGTGTGTGTGTGTGTGTGTGCAGTCATCTCGGGAACCGGACAGTGCCCGCCGGACGACAGTACACCTTTCAGCTATGCTGCAGGTACTCCCTCGCTCCTCCGCCTTCATCGAACACGGCAGCGGCGCCCTGCGGCAACTCCGGTGTATTTAAAAAATCTGGTTCACTATGTTTCACATTTTGTCGACATGTTCCTGTCGAAGATGTTGTTGTTGGCTTGTCGACATGTACTTACATATTGTGTGCTGCCCGAAAGGTGTGACCTCGCTGGGCGGAGAGACGCGGCCGTTCTCGGTGGACGGGGTCAACGCGCAGCTGATGGCGGGCCAGACCTTCTACATGCGCATCCCGGCCAGCGCCAGCAAGGAGCACGAGGAGTTCGTTTGCCTGCGCGCCATGCGCACGCCCGTCAACATCCTCGCCGCCCCGGCCGCCAACCTTGACCCTGTCACGTCATCGTCAGCGGCAGCGGCCGAGGCGGCCTCGATCTCGTCGGCCACCCGATCGTCGATGAACTCGGCCACCTACTCGGCGCCCAC